TATATATATATACACGCGATCTGTACTCTACATCCGATCCGTACACTCTTGGTTTACGAACATATCGTGTCGCACGTTCCGTTGTAATCAACAACAAGAGCAGAAACATCGTTAACCCGATCGTTAATCCTTAATCAGTATGGTGAAGTCATGCATCTGATATGACGAGGTCGGTACAGATAATTAACTCTTGATTCCCTAATATTGGGTTTCTAAATTGATTAAGTTCAGGTTTGCATAAAAGCGTGGCTGTTAGAGAATAAAATGTATTTACGTCCAAAATACATTATTTATTTTAATGTCGTAAATAAACAGGGAAAAAAAACATAATATAATGAATATAATGAATATAATTATTTATCTTGTTAATATAACTTAATCGATTAGATTTTCTACAATCCTGATACGACGAATACGAGAATTTGAAAAATTTTGGAAAATACAACTATGTATTTTTAAATTAGATAAAATAGAACGAATTGAATAAGTAACTTTGAAAAGAGATCGGCTAATAATAATAATCAGCTTAACTAAGCAACATTTTCAGTAATGGCAACATTTTCAGTAATATTATATACTGTAATTATATACTGTAATTTGTCGCTGCTGTTGTAATTAGTTGTAACTATAAAAGTCGCTTCTAGAATATTCACTTAAGAACCCATTGTGCTGGTTAAGGATTAAAATATATTTTTTCAAGCGATTAACTGTTGTAATTAAAAGTGTGAGTGAGCATGTGCGATTTCAATGTCGAACGCATGAGAGGCTGAAGGGTACAATACGGTAACGAAAAGCGGGAACCTTTGATTTACATTAAAAAACTTTATAGCCGATTCCTCTTGTAGATAACCTAAAGTGAGACTAATGTTTTTATCGAATAAACTCTATCACACGTCCTGTACTAATTTGATTTATGATAATTAAAAGTAAAATTAAAAAAAACTTTGCAAATATAAAAGTTTCACTGCCAACGTGCTCCAATCCCTACGCAAGTTCATATTATGCGATAATATTGATAGCGTGAAATTATGATGTAAAAATGCTATCGATATAACGTAACAATAGTGTTTGGTAGCGCTACCAAAATTAGCTCTCCGAACAGTAGTACTGCTAAATAGCGCTAATAGTGAGCTTTCCGAACTCAAGATCTTACATTCAAAATATTTTGAAAAGAGAAAGAAATGTTAACAGTTTCTTAGTCACTTTTGTTGATTATTTCATCAGATAGATAGAAAGCAGAGTCAGTTAGCAAGCGAGGTGGTTGAGATTAAACATATACGATAAAAGTCCCGCAATCATGAAGCAAAGATCAAGAGAGACAGAAACAAAAATTGCAAAATGTATCATTGTAGCTGGTATGTACAATGCATTTGTTCCTCTAATATGGTATAAGTTTAAAAAGAAATATTAATAAAACCTAAAACAAAATGTTTTATGATCGTGTAAATTAAATGAACCGCACACATACATATATATATATATATATATATATATATGCGCGCACATACAATAAGCAGTATTTTTCATAACTTATATAACTATTTATTCTATATAATTCTTACAAAATTATTTTAAATAATATTATTCTAATTATTATACAGTAGGTACTGCTGAAGAGGTAATGAAGCAATAAAGTCTACAACATAAAATATAATTAACTTCTACGAAATAGACATTAATTTACGATGTACTTATAACAAAATGTCTTACTAAAAAGAGCATTAGGTAAGGTAAACATTAATAAATATTACTAATATTCTTTTTACTATACGTTGTGTGTGTGTGTGTGTGTGTGTGTGTGTGTGTGTGTGTGTGTGTGTGTGTGTGTGTGTAAAATTTATATAATTTATATGATGTATAGGAAATATTAATTTCTTCGACCGATAAAAAAGAAGCTGATATTATTATCTTGATTGGTGAAAATTCTGCAAAAACACACCGTAAAATATATAAGGCGACTAACAAAGTCATCGATAAAATTATCTGGGACTTGAATTTGAAGCCATTCGTGTTAAAACTAAAAGAGAAATTAAAAAAAGAATTTGACAGGTAAAGCTTTGTTTTTGTTTATCCTGTAGACTACAATTTTAAAAATATTGATATATATTTTCAGATCCGCGTGCGGAATACGAAATGGAACGCTTATCATTAGTTTTTCCGGTTTCAATAAAAATATAAACTCATTTCTTACGAAAAATGTATATCTAATAAGGCAAATAATAACACCGTTCTTGGACACGAGTAATTATGAAACGTTTAGCGATGATGATAGTGATAATAATAATAAGAGGAAGAAACAGAAAAAGAATAATGATAATGATAATGATGATAATTGTAATGATGATAATAATAATGACGATGATAACGATAATAATAATGACAGTGATAACGATAATAATATTGATTATAATATTGCATCCGATATTGATAATAATAATGACAGTGATAACAATAATAATATTGAGTATAATATTGCATCCGATATTGATAATGAATCCACTTCAATGCACGTATCCGAAGAGATGGTAAAATATCTTTCACGACCGGAATAACTATTCTGCAAAAGTCTGCAATACGAATTTATAATTAAAAATATTGTTTACAGAAAAAAATCAAGGCTGCGGATTTTATAGAAAAGAATTCAGACTGTAACACTGACAAGGTAAATTCGCTAGCAGGTGCATTGAGAATAATAAAATCTGTAATACGTGAAAATCATAAGAAAACACTGATGGAAACCGTGAACATAAATGACGCCCACGGCAGAATATTGGCTGAAGATATATATTCGGAACACAATGTGCCGACATTCAGGACTGCCGCTAAACATGGATATGCGGTATTAGCCAGTGACAAGCGGGGTATAAGGAAAATACTGAGAAAAGATTCGAAGGTAGGAATAATGATCAAAATGCGATTAATTTAAATGATGATTGACTTGCAGCATCTACTTGAAGTTCCATCCCCTCGCGTGGATCAATTTTTCTACATTGTCTGAAATGAAAGATAAGAAAGATAAGAAAATAGACAACGAATTATGCAATTAAAAATTTAACAGTATATTTCTATCGATTGAATTATATTTATTGCTGAAGAAGCTCAGTCTTGATTTAGTTTACTTTTTACTTTTTTTCAGTTCTAAGAATTGAAAAAATAAAATGTGAATTAAGTAAATTAAAGTCAGAGATTAAAGTCAATTTATATTAGTAGAAATGTGTAGAAGTGACAGTTGTCACATTAGTTGTCTGATCAAATTAATTGGAGTCTAGCTGGAGTCGTTTCAAGTCAAACTTTTGATGTAACGAGCTCCATAAGACATTGCTTCTTTTTCTAGAAAAATCCGAATGTACTCCGATCTGGCACGTGTATGATGGTAAAAACTGGAGCACGTATTCCCGATGGTAAAGACAATTATAATTACAAATTATATCTTTAATTACAGCAAAGAATTAATTACTATTTTTATTCACGATCGCAGGAGCAACAGCGGTCGTATCATTGAAGGATGTCAGAAAAGTAGACTGCAATGATAATAATAAAGAAAATATTGGTAGAAATATTGATGACTGTGAAAAAAAATTTGACATCGAGATCTTAATCACTCCGCAAGAAAATGATAATATTAAGTATATAAAAACAGCCTGATATTTTTTAATGTTCCATACAACAAAATATTTTTGCAACATTGCAACAACATTATAATGCAATATTGTCGGAATATTCTGTATGGAACACTTCCACCAAAGTAGGCTTTGTCACAAAATAATTTATTTATTCATATTTTCAAAGACCTGTAGGCTATGACATAAAGGAAGGAATGCACGTTCTACAGAAATGCACTCGTATCGGACCAGCAGCAATGAGTATTTTGACATTATGTGGACGTGAAAAAGTTATAGTTTTTAAAGTTTTATCCGTAGGTATATTATCCGTCGGAGATGAATTGGAAGAACCTGACACCCGCCCTTTAAAATCAAAATGCGTCTACGATGGTAACAGGAGAATGTTAATGTCATTATTAAAGGAACACGATTTCAATCCTGTGGATTACGGAATTTCGCCTTATAAGTAAGTGCACCGAAATTGATTATAATACGTATACCTGGTTTAAATTAGAAATATTTAGTTATTATTATTCTCAATTAATTTAATAATCTGACGAATGTTCTCACAGTGCAAGTAGCTTAATATCAAACATTCAGAGAGCGATAAAAGAAGTGAAGATACTCGTAATATTAGGCGGTACGAACAACGAAGATATAGTGAAGCCTGTTTTAAAGGGACATTTTAAAGCTAATATGTATTTCGGTATTTCTTTTTACTTCAATTATCATAATCATATAATGTGCTGCAAGATGCATCTTTTGGAATATTGTTTCTTTTTTCAGATCGCGTGAATATAAAACCAGGAAAATCGACCGCATTAGCAAAAAGTACGTTCGAGAACGAAGATAAATATTTCTTCTGCATGTCGGCAAGTTTTTCAACCGTACCCATCATGGCGCATGTATTACTTCTACCATTTCTGATCGGATTACGCTGCGACTTTTCCCATCAATATCCCGTCATACTGTCTTGCGTAAGGCTTGTCTTTTTTATAGATGGAAACATTTTATAAATGGGAAGGGACATGGATCATTGATATCTTTTTTTAACATTGCAGTTAGACTCAGAGATCAAATTGCATCAGCGTCCGCAACTTTCATGGGCGAAATTAGAATGGAACGACGATGATACTTTTCCAAGGGCTTACACTCCCACAAACAATTTGGGACATTGTTGTAACATACTCAAATATGAAAAATCTAATGCAATTCTAATATTGCCGTGTCGTTCACAGTACGCAATAAAATTATTCTCGGCATTCATAAAGGCACTATCATTGAAATAATTTCCACCATATTTTTGACGGATTGCAACATAAGATTTATATATAATATATTCATTTGAATTCGTTGAATTTTATATAATAGATATTTTATAAAAATATAGACAGGAAATAATTGGAAGAATATAAAATAAAATAAATATAAAATGAATTATTCCGAAGCGAAGATATCAAGTGATTCGTCTCAATTTTTCAAACTTTACATTTTGCAACTGCCGAATATAATTTGAAATAAAATTCTTATTGGATTAATTCTACTCATCTGGGATTTAAAGTCGATTAAATTTTTTTTCAGAAAAACAAATGACATAATTTATACATATAAATCGTTAATCCTTAATCAATATGAAGTCATGCATCTGATATGGCGAGGTCATGGATAATTAATCCTTGATTCCCTAATATTGGACTCCTAAATTGATCAAGTTCAAGTTTTGCATAAAAGCGTGACTGTTAGAGAATAAATTGTATTTACGTAGTTCAAAATACGTTATTTATTTTAATGCCGTAAATAAATAGGGAAAAGAAACAGAGAAAAGAAACAGGGAATATAATTATTTATCTTGTTAATATAATTTAATCGATTAGATTTTTTTACAATACCTGATATGACGAATACGAGAATTTGAAAAACTTCGAAAAATGTAACTATGTATTTTTAAATTAAATAAAATAGAACAAAGTTGAATAAGTAATTTGACGAAAGATTGTAATAATCCGCTAATAATAATTCGCTTAACTAAGCAACATTTTCAGTATTATATATCTGTAACTTGTTGCTGCTGTTGTAATTAATTGTAACTATAAAAGTCACTTCTAGAATGCTTACTTAAGAATTCATTGTGCTGGTTAAGGATTAAAATATATTTTTTCAAGCGATTAACTGTTGTAATTAAAAGTGTGAGTGTGCGATTTCAACGTTGATAGGATGAAAAGTGAGCGATGAAGGGTAGAATATATAACGAAAAGCGGGAATCTTTGATTTACATTTACAAATTTACATTACAAAAAATTTTATAACCTTTTTGTAGATAACCTAAAATGAGATTAATCATTTTATCGAATAAACTCTATCTCACACATCCAATTTGATTTATGATAATTAAAATTAAAATTAAAAAAGCTTTGCAAATATGAAAGTTTCACTGTCAACGTGCTCCAACCCTTACGTAAGTTCACGTTATGCTATACAATAAGCAAAAAATAATGCATGGCATTGTTATCATTATAAATCTAATTTATCGCTTCATTTCTTGAAAATAAAGATTCTTCTGCAAACTCTACTCACGACCGAATTAATTGTTAGTGAGTCGTGAGCGACGAGATTTACGTGTTTAAAATAGTATTGATACAAGAGGTGCGTTCGGGGAGCTTGCTACCGTGCTAACGCTACCAACTCTATTCACGGAGCCAAATTAGCAGCAATAGTATTTACTACTAATAATTTTCTAATTATTTATATACTAGACGCTAATGAAGCGTTAAGTTCACAGCATAAGACAAGCATAATACAATTTAAACTCTCTCGAAGTAAGCATAGTTTACTTATACAAATTACTTCTAAACATTGAAAGTAACACTATAGATATTTCTAAATATCTTTTTTACTATACTTGTGTGTGTGTGTGTGTGTGTGTGTTTGTGTGTGTGTAAATTTATATAATTTATATGATGTATAGAAAATATTAATTTTTTTGATCGATAAAAAAGAAGCTGATATTTTTATCTTAATTACTGAAAATTCTACAAAAACACTCCGTAAATATATAAGGATTAACAAAGTCATCGATAAAATTATCTGGGATTGAATTTGAAGACACTTGTGTTAAAACTAGAAGGGAAATTAAAAAAAGAATTTGACAGGAAAAGCATTATTTTTTTTAGCCTGTAGATTACAATTTTAAAAATATTAATATATATTTTCAAATCCGCGTGCGGAATACGAAAAGGGATGCTTGTCATTAGTTTTTGCGGTCAGGAGAATGTTAATCTCATTATTGAAGGAACACGATTTCAATCTTGTAGACTACGGAATTTCACCTTATAAATAAGTGCACCGAAATTGATTATAACACGTATACCGCTGTAATACCTGATTTGAATTAAAAATATTTAGTTATTATTCTTAATTAATTTAATAATTTCTGACGAATGTTCTCGCAATGCAAACAGCTTAGTATCAAACATTCAGAGAGCAATAAAAGAAGTGAAGATACTTATAATATTAGGCGGTACGAATAACCAAGATATAGTGCAGCCTGTTTTAAAGGGACATTTTAAAGCTAAATATGTATTTCGATATTTCTTTTTACTTCAATTATCATAATCATATAATGTGCTGCAAGTTGATTCCATCTCTTGGAATATTGTTTCTTTTTTCAGATCACGTGAAAAATATACGTATAAAACTAAGAAAATCAACCGCATTAGCAAAAAGTACGTTTCGAGAACGAAGATAAATATTTCTTCTGCATGTCGGCAAGTTTTTCAACCGTACCCATCATGGCGCATGTATTACTTCTGCCATTTCTGATCGGACTACGCTGCGACTTTTCCTATCAATATCTTGTTATAACATTGCAGTTAATGTCAGCGATCAAATTGCATCAGCATCCACAACTTTTATGGGCGAAATTAGAACGGGACGACAAAGACACTTTTCTAATAATAACTCCCACAAATAATGTGGGACATTGTTATGACACACTGAATATGAAAAATCTAATGCAATTCTGATATTACCCGTCTCGTTCAGGTAAAATCTCTCTCACTTACATATACATGTGGTGCGCCGATTATACACAGGCGAGATTCTACATAATTTTATGCCGAATCCGAACGGCTTAATTGATAGAGGTTTCCATGGCAAAGATACTCTTAGCAGTTTGCCATATCGCCGAAGAGGAGACACGAACGTGAAAAAAAGCATTCTTCATTCTCTGCCGGGAATCGAATCCAGCATAGTAGGTAGACCAGTGCGCTGTCTGCTATACCACGTTCGCTCTCGGGATATTGTAATTGTAATTGTATTGTGTCATAACATACTCAAATATGAAGAATCTAATGTAATTCTAATGTTGTCGCCCTGTTCACAGCACGCACTTGCTCTCGTATTATTTAATACCAACGAGAAATTGGCATTTCCTTAATGTGTTTATTTTTTTCCACGTTTTTACACACTTAAATTCAATGTACTACAAAATTACACATATACCTAAATCCTATACATTTTCCACAGCCAAACAATTATGAAAATATATAAATCTGCAAATGATGTTAATATGTTATATCATATGTTGTACCATACCATAATATAATTGCATTATTAATATACTCTCAAAAAAAGAATAGTATCTGTAAAAAGTATCGGTACATTCAATTCTACAATACTATACTTATATATAACATTTCTATACAAGATTATAAGATTTTATATACAATAATCATGTACTCTTGCATACAATGTATTTCATTTAACATAATTAATTTTCTTCATTATTGTTATATATTCTTTTGATCAATATCTTTTGAATGGTGTATTCAAATGAGTGTTATTCTTTCTTCTTTGTATGATTTCAGAACTGTCATTAACGCTTTTATTCAACAAATCTTGGCTAGAACAGGCATCATCGGCCTCTGACTTCATTGAACTACTGGCTACGATATCTGACTAAGATCAGTACTCTGAGTTGCAAAACTTGAATCTACAGAATATTCACTTTCATCCTTGATTACATTGCGAATCATTCAGGTTTGCATCCTTCAGAAATGTCAGCCCAAGACGTCCTGAAAATATTCAGGAATGTGTTTAGATAACCATAAATATGATTTTTTTTTCATCACTACTGATGCACCATCTCCCTACTGATGCACTCAAATGCTACTGATGCATCACCTCGGAAGAGAGCGCGAAGTTATGACGTCAAAACGCTATCAATATGACGTAACAATAGTGTTTGGTAGCGCTACCAATTAGCTCTCCGAACAGTAGTAGTGCTAAATAGCGCTAATAGTGAGCTTTCCGAACGCACCCAAGATCTTATTCAAAATATTTTGAAAAAGAGAAAGAAATGTTAACAGTTTCTTAGTCACTTTTGTTGATTATTTCATCAGATAAATAGAAAGCAGAGTCAGTTAGTAAGCGAAATGATTGAGATTAAACATATACGATAAAAGTCCCGCAATCATGAGGCAAAGATCAAAAGAGATAGAAATGTTTGCAAAAATGTAATCAATTGTAGCTGGTATGTACAATGCATTTGTTTCTCTAATATGGTATAAGTTTAAAAAGAA